AAGTTCATAAACTCATCGCATTAAAAATGAGAAATGAAGAATAAAATATGTTTTAAAATTATTATTATACTGCTTGACCAGTACCCACCAAACATGAGAGAGGGGAAATAAAGAAACTTGATTAACACTCGACCGGATGTATACAAAAAAATCGTCTTCGGTTTTGGGTGTTATCACTATACCACCACTGAAAATTTGAAACACCTTGTGATACGGCGGCAAAGTAAACTACACGCTGTATAAAATAATAAATTCAAGCGGCAGTTATGCGCGTTCACATAAAGTTTATTGTCCAGATGCCATCAAAGATTGTATTTAATTACAAACGGACAGAGACATATTTATTACGCGCATCTATCGTCGAAGAGAGAAACCGAACGCGGCGGCGGCGAAGGGGGTAACGAGATACGCGGGCGAAAAACTGTGCAGCTCGTGCGATATCATATTAATCGGCGAATATGCAAACACGTGTAATGAAGCAAGCAAGCAAGTCAGCGCGAGAGTCCTTGCTGCGGTGTTCGTACATCAGCACCTTTCGTCGTCGGCGGTTTGTAGCTTTCAGCTTTTCAATCCATAAACATCCTTGGATGCAGCCGCAGCCGGCCGCAGCTTTAACTTCACATAAGTTATGCGATCCTCGAGCTTGCGTTGACGATTCGATTTATGAAAATTTCGATAAATTCCAGCATTTCAACAAGCGCGCAAGCATCTGGAGCCGACTGAAATGAATGTGGCTTTTAATTTGAATATACAAATCGTTGTCAAGCGGAAGATATCAAGATTTTAATAAAAAATCAATGAATATAAATACGATATATTCAGGACGGTCGGATGTTGATGTATGAGAATGTGCCGAAAGCAAAAAAATGCACGCCGAAGAGGAACGATGACCACCTACTGCAAGTATTCGGCCGTTTCGAATGGGGTGTCGCATAAAAATTCAACAAAAAATGCATACAGTGTGGTTTTACAACGATTTAATTCATATAAAACACTCTGTATATTTATTTGCGTATAAAAACAATACAAGAAAATTCAAGAAAACTTCTGAGTGGACGCTGCAGCGCAAACTTTATATTAACATATATACACACACTCTGATTAGATTATGATCGGAATACATGGGATGGACGTGTCCTGCATGCGTCCAGCATGCCCGTCGAGTCCCACACACATGTGACGGATTTATTAGATTTGGACCGTGCGGTGCTTTTGATACGGAAATTTCATAACGAAAAACTTTGCTCATTCATTCTAAACTTGCCGGAGCTGAACACTGGTGTGCAGTGAGCAAACAAAACCGCGCGCATCATTCATCCAACTTCCAAACTGGTGTAAACTAAACAAGTATCAAGAGACGAGAAGAGAAAAAAAGAAATATTTATATAAATATATAAAGCGCGGGCATAAATTATATATTTTCGTAATATCTTTCAACGTGTACAAATATGGCCATAATTTGAGTTGGTTCTATGTACACAGTGGCAATCGTAAAAGCGTCGGGTTCATCACTCCCGCATCATGATGACCGAAAAAAGCGCGGCGCTGATGTCCGATCGTTATCAGACGAATATTATATATTTAAGCATCGTCGTAAAAATGTATATTTGTTAACAGCGCCGTTTCGTTTTTATTCGCTCCCGTCTCGCGGCCGGCTCCTTTCTTTTTCGGCATCTCTCGTCGTCTCGCCTCCTAATAAAAAAACATAACGAGTGAAGGGAGGAAGGCGTGTGTAGAAAATCATGAAATCGGTAAATTCTCGGCTCGCAGCATTCACGAGCCCCGTCTTATTTATTATTCATGCTGATGACGGTTTTTATTGTTTGTTGACCGAAGAGCATGCGCAGCCTCTCGTCGCGCGGCTACCGAAATGCCATATATTTTCCGGTTTCATCGTTTTCGGGAATCGCATCGTGACTATTAGTGCCCATCCATAGCATCTAATATTTGAATATAATGCGATGGCGCGGGTTTGAACCGAATCAGATCGTCGAAGAATCTTGAACAATTAAAAACTAGTGGCTACTTATTTAAATGAGTTTACATGTTTTATAACAGAATCGAATGATGTGATATAAAAACGCAGCGAAATGAAGTGAATGAGACGAGGAATGTTGACGAGAGGACGTAAAAATGTTAACTAATGTGCGTAATAAAATCGGTTGATGCTGGGGTTCTTTATACTTATTAGAATTCTTGTTCTTTGATTAGTTAATGGGTTTTCTCACTTTTATAATAGATATTTGTGGGTAAGATCTAACAAGATGACAACAAAAAGAATTTGATCAATATATTGTACAAATACTATCATTAAAAGCTGTGGTTTGTAATTTTCCAACTTTCATATGCTATCAATCGACAGTTGAAAGTAGCAAATTTTCCGTCGTACATAATTAGCATCTACATTATATGCATATTAATGGTGCATTAAACCAAGATTAATTAAATTCACATTGTGTTTATAAAACGCACTCGGCGTTGATAATGTGTCGAGTTACATTTCTTTTTCCTGGACGCAAATTTCTTTTCTATGCTAATTGATTAAAAAACAGAATTAAAATATAAATGGAATTATCGTATCATTTTACATGTCTACAAGTGTACATTATAATTATTGAACTTACAAACGTGTGAAATCTTTTCATTTAAGTATATACCTACGTAGGTAGGTATAAACTATCAGTTCCGGTTAATTTATGGCTTAAAATAATTTTGGATTGAATCAAAATGTGTATCTGAACTATTCTTTAATCATTATAAACACTTACAACAAATTTCATCAAAATCTATCCAATCGCTTAGGAGTAGTTCTGTGACATTCAAACAAACTGAAAAATAATTGGCGATTTTTTACACTTTTGAGGAATTCGATCCGTATAAACAGCATTTGTGCATGTTCTTTATATAAATACTCATGTGCAAACAACAATTGAAGCGATTTAAATGTATATCTTGTATATCACCACACATTCAGGCGAAATATACGACACCATCGAAACAATGGGAACGATAATAAGTGCGTTTTCTTGCAATCCGGTACGGCATACCACTATATATCTACTATCTTCAAAGGGAATGGAATAGTTTAAAGCGAAACAACCACAGATACAAATCATATTCTGCCCGTATATGGAACGCACTTATTGACCACATGCCCAGGTGCGGAAAAGAAGTACTCTGTACTCTAAGAAGATAATATTCTAACTAAAATCCTAGCGATAGTAAACATTCCTCTAACATGTTCAACATTGTAGTTCCCATGGATTAATTTCACATATATATGTATCAGTAATTTGCCCCGCATGTGAAAGTCGGTGTGGAATTTGTGCAAAGCGCCTAGGGTTAGATGACTTGTGTCAACCCCCTGGGGTCGCGCCTAATACCCGAGGATGACTGGCGCAAACTCGCAACGCGTTCTCCATCCCATTGTACGCACACACGAAAGAGATCGCGGTTGGACGCCCTCCAGAAATCCGTGCGCACATACGTAACTTATGCCAACCACGAAAAGTTAATCCGATCATGTATAGCAGGATACACACTTCTCAATTGTGTTGATCGCAGACAAATCCTCTGAACAATCAAAAAATGCGTTTTTCCCTGTCCTAATCACCCACTAATCTTACTCTAAATAATAAAATCGAAGAGTATACAAAAACGTCGTATACAAATCGTTGATTAATAATGCACGAATTCATCGTGATGGATACAATATGTACCTATATGTATATATGAAGCAAATGTTAATGATTCCGTGATCACCGGTCACTCAGTGGACTGCATCGATTGTTGGGCAATTGCATTCTCAGCGTCGCGTCGTTCCAGCCAACGTCAAAGAGACTTCATATTCATATCTACATATACGTGAAGATGTATAAGTAACTTTGGAATAAATCAATAAAGGCCAATATTGTTTCGAGAGTTGGCTTATAAAGAAAGCGAGACACATTGTTCGTTTGTGAAGCGCCACGTTTCAAGCGATCGCGTCTCATGTGAAACGAGCAACGGCAGGTTGTCAAAATTCTGATTGTCATGCTACTAATTACTATTGTATAACTACTTATACCCAATCAACCACGAGACGGTTGCCTTTTTTTTATTTCTGCGCTCTCAACAGATGATGACCTGCTGGGAAAACAAGCCTTTATATTAAACAACAAATCAAAAACAATATCGATTGTATTGCGTTGTAATCAAACGAATTGTAAAGAATAAACAAACCTGGCGAATACTGTCAAATGTCAAATTTAAGGTTAACTAGCGTAGGTTGTGTTTAAAGTGAGGTTAAAATTCAAGTGGCTATTTTCAAGAAGTCCAACTAGTTCGACGTAAAAGGCAGGCGAATAAAACTAGTGCAGTTGTAAACAAGAAGCCGATGACGATAATAACAATATAAGATAAAGTATAGCAGATAAGTGCCTCTTGCGGTCCTTCAAGTTTTCACTTCATCGTGCGCTCCGAAACTCGCCTTTCGTCATATCATGCCCATTTAGACGCACAACTAGCATCCAAAACTAACTACACGTATAATTCATACGCCCGATAGTTATCTTTATCTTTATATGTTAAAAAGAAAAACCAACGCACACGCGTACATTTCTATTAGCCACACATAGAACTAGACACTAGAAATGCCGACGTGCGTGTGATGCGGGGGTGAGATAGATACCAGCGCGCGCGCGTACTCTTTCACATCTCTTCAACAATATGTCTCTTTCGATTTGTACTGGTGCACATATACTCTTTGACGAACGCTATTCGACCGGTGTCTGATGCGTCGTGACACTATGCTCTCCATCGGCGAGAACAGCACACAGCGCGGCACGGTGTACGTGATCCGCACATTGATATAAGGTGGCGAATGTGCGGCGGCATTTTCGTACCTTTGATAATCACCATCGCGACGCGACGTGAGAATGCAGCGCGTCGCATTCGGATTCGCACACGAGTTGTTCATATGACAATTCCAGAGATTATATTGTCACCCGTAACGAGCGGGCGCGCGCGCTCGATACGGCACCGATCGGAACAGCCATAATCGTTTTGTTTTACGAGCGAATGGTGTCGAGCGCTTGCCAATTATCACCTGTCGCGACTTAAGAAACTTCGGCATCGTTGATTTAACTACCAAAGCACCGCCTCGCTGGTAAGTATTGTAGATATCGCTGTATGGTTACGAGTTTAATTAAAACTACTTTTAGTGAGCGCAGCATACGCGCAGAAGACCAGAATCAGAAAGGAGGAGGAGATGCAGACAGCTTCATGATTTATTTATCACATGTCTGCATGACACCTGATTTGTAAATATTTATAGAGATGACATGCGCTTATTTTAAATGCAGAATGATATAGGTAAGTAGAAAATATTTAGAAAAATAGGAAACAGGAGATGTGATTACAAATCTTTCACTTCCTCTGAGATATTTTAATTATTCAATTTTGCAGTTTTTGTGGAAAACGGAAGGAACTGATTGTCCTTGAGATATGCCAACTTCCTCTATTTAGGTGTCTCCCCTATTGATTATATTCATATATAAAGCAGATAGGGTGGTCTCCTAAACTATAAGCGACATTTCGCTGCTTAGTCATTATTATTTTCCAGACACGCTCACACTGCATGTCCATTCGTCTCCCCCATAGCTTTGATTTACTGGGTTACGAACGCATTCCAAATACTCCTTACAACGTTTTCGGCTGTCGCTGTCGCGTTTTCTTGCCTCCGGCAGTTTGGTTTTGTGTCACGTTCACAATATAAAATGTATAATGCTCGTCCTCATCGTCTCCGGGGCCGTCGCGGTCGTCGCCGCGTTCGTCCGCCGCCCGTCGATGGAATAATAAATTCGTCAAGTTCTAAGAAGCGCTTGTCTTAACGGCGTGGCAAACGCGGGTGGTACTCGTTGTGATGGCCGTCAGGTGCGCCATAACTTGACAGGCGAAATATTTATAAGGAGTAAATTGTTATTTAAATTGGATAAACACACCATTCCGATGGCGTTTAATATCGAGCGCGCTGCGCACTTTATCCGCGGGATATGCGCGTGTTTTACGCCCGACGATTTTACCACGCGTCGTAAAAATATAGACCGCTGGCTGGGGCGAGTCACAAGTATGTTTAACTAAATAATAATCATCGTAAACTTAATGCCATGCATTTGCTTAATTCCCTATCATAATCTAATCTCTAAAAAGCTCTCGGGTGCTTTCATAATTGCGCGCGAGTCGAAACAAAACCGCCTTCGAATAAGCATACTTAAAAGAAGAACAAGAAAAAAAAATCGAACAAAGCGAACACCCAGCGGTGAGTGTAATATGTAGACTAGTTTTTAATCGCACTAACTACAAGCAATATCAGATATTATGCAAGTTAAGATAGAAATTCGCTCGAATGTATCATAAAAATGCGTTGGTAGTCAATTTACATAATTTACATAATCATAACGGAAGTTTATTATTTATCAATTAATTATCTAAACGCTATTAATCATTTTATATTCAGTCATTGTCCTGTACCGATAAACTTATTGTAGTAAAATTAATTCTTATTTCTAAATTTTGTTTTTATTGATTTTGTGATAACCGCGTTAAAAATTGTTTGTAAATTAATACCGCAATAACATGTTTAAAATGCTAAATAATTTCATATTGTTTCCAATTAATTACATTGATTAATAGCAAACATAATGCCAAATGAATAATAGAATTATTTCACATAATTACTCGCCTGTACGAAAATAATTTGATTCATTTCGTTCGCACCAAATAAAAATGTTTACGTACAAATATCTTGGCACTTTATCTAGTAAATTAGACTCGGAAGTATACACACAGATATTATTTCTACATAATTTGTTCGGTTCGGTTTCGGTTCCGTTCGTTAGTCTGCACTTCGCATAGACAACTCGCCAGCTACCACAACGAATTAAATCATTAGAAATATAAAACAAAGGCATATTTGATTTAATTCCTAATTCATAGTGTTGTTTTGTGCGCATTGCGTTGGCATGTATGTTAAATGAGTCAAGAAACTTTTTGATTAAACGAACGCTCAAATATGTTTAAGTTATAAGTGACTTTTAACGCCTTTTGCTCATGTTAAATTTCAGTTGTGATTGTTTTTAATGCGCGCGTTTAGGTTAATTAAATATAATGCATGGAAATTAATTAGTACGGAATGCCATCTTTTGTTTACATTTATTTATTTAGTTTGGTTCCGTCTGGATTGCGCCACGATATAAATTCGTGTGAATAGAATAACCATCTAGTTATTTTTATTATTCTCATAAGTCACCTGCGCATCTTCTCCCATAGCGAAAAGAATCAACAAGGCGTTTTATTAGTGAAACGTGAAGTGGAAAAGATCATGTTGACATTTTCCCAATCGCTCGACATTTAACTGTTTGGTAAATTTATAAAGATAGTTTTTGGTACTAAAGTTTGAATTTGAATAGCGGTGTTGCCGATTTAAAATTAGTTTAGAAGGTGTGAGAAAAAAAGAAGCACAAAACGGTTTCTTCACCTAAACGTAGTTATATTTTCTTAAACTAGACTAAAGATCGAAGCACCGGTTTTTAATATAAATGGTCAATTATGTGGAAGTCAAAACTGATCATTAATCATCGGCAGGTCACTTCAGCTCTCCAAAATGAAACTCTCCTGAATGAAACGAGAGGCTAAGTCCAACATGCCTCTCAACTAAAGTAATTAATTACTTTTTAAATATTTAACCACAATTTCAAATTTCCTCAAACAAAAAATGTGATCTTTTCGAAACTGATTCAGATTTGCGTAACATAAATCGATGTTCAATATTTCCACACCGTTGTTATTTTCGTTTGGTTGAAAATGACAAAATGACAAAAGCAAAACGAATAAAAGAAAACACAGAGAAGCACAAACACGAAAATTAATTAAATCTCACCAATGGAAAACGAGAAACGCGCTGGGCGCACATTGTGAATGCTCGTGCCGTCGATGTTGGTAGTCGAACAATGAGCGATCTGTGACAATACATGATGGATCTGGAGATGAGATCTAATAATAATTCTCGTAGCAGGCGCATTCCGCGCGCTCCAGCCGAATGGATTCGATACTGGCGCAGGATCGGCGTGTAAACGAAACCGGAGGACGAAGGGGGAAACACGCACACACATCTAGACAAGCAGGCGATACGACCAGCAGATCCCAGATAACCGGCCGTTCGACGTTCAACAATGAACTCATTTATTTATAAGCGGGTTACACTGCGCTCCTGTCGCAACTTAACTAATTATACACCGAAGCAGATATGATTTTTCAATATGTATCACTTTTTTTCTCTGCACTGAGTTTTGTAATAGTACCATTTCTCATCTATACCACAAGATAACACTTGAAAATGCTTCCTGGAAATGATTCCCAAGTCAATTGAATTAAATGGGAGTAACTCACAGCTCACTGAATGATTATCTCATTACTTCGAAATATGAAGGAATGGCGTGGATGGCACGAAGGATGCCATGCTCACAATATGATGTGTTTCGGGTCGCACGGTTGCTCTGACATGGACAATCGGTTGCACCCATCAATTACGGTTTGTATATCATTGGTTATTGGGAGCGCGTTGGGTGCATCGAGCGCCAGCTATCCATGGCAAAGGAAGAGAAGAAAATATGTTCATCAGTCAATCCGCGAAAGCTGCGTATGCAGCGGGTGACCGCGGACCAGAAAGAGTTATTTATCTGGATTGCATATTTATACATCGTCCGGGATGATTTCTGATTTCATTTTGGGACAACTTCAGTATCTCATTTCACATTTACACGGAGTGTTTTAAACGTAAAATTTAACTAAATTTGTGAATAATATTAAACAAATACGTAATTATCATAAATACAATTTTTGTTTTAATTTAAAATTTTACTTTTTTTAAAGATGTTCTATATGAGTGAATTTTTACACTGTGTATTTTTTATTTATCAATTTATGGGAGCATTTTGTATGCAAGAGATATCTCCATGCTTGTATGGACGACGCGTTATTATCTCTTAACTTGTCGTGCATTTATCTTGTTACAGATTATTTCATTGCAAAGCAATGATTTATAATGGCAAGTATAACCAATGGCCGTCCTATCGTGGACCAACACGCGAGAGGATAAAACGAAAGACAAAGAGTAACAAATTTTGATATTTGTGGACTCACCGTTTCGTCGCAGTCCGCATGGCATCCATCAAGTTTCGATGCGTATCAATGAAACAGCGTTTCGGCCACATTGCTATAAACAACCATGCGTCAAATGACCGCGGTGATAAAAATGAATTCGTACATGCAGTGCCACCTTTGAATTGAAAATCAAACTCAATCGCAATATTTACAACAATTTATTTATATTAAAAAAAATCTCTGTGGGTAGATATTGTAATAAAATTAAATAAATTTATAATCAACCGTAAAATAAAGTTTCACAAACTAGGAAACTAGGTGCACAATAAATATATTCATAGATTATATTGTTGGAACACGAATTGAAGCGCAATCGCAGGTCTAATGTGTTGTTTTGGCCGGGGGGCAGGCGCAATGAACATTGTTGCGTTTTAACGTACGAGTATAAAACTCAAGCAGGCATAATGAAGTGTATATTGCCGTCTTTAGTTGCACGCGCGTTTCGCTGCGATTGCGCGCCGATGGGACGAGCAAGAGAGCCCCCTCATTACACGGTGGGCCGACCACCTCACGATCCACGTAATGTGTGTACACATACCAGCCGATAATCACTTTTATTATAAAGCATCTCTTAAGTAATGTACATCTTGTTTTACCTTCGCACTTTTTATTGCCATCTTTTTAATAATAGACATAGCGCTCCTATCGCATCTCGAAGAATGAAGCATGAAGTCGTATCAGAAATAAAATGCGTTTGGGTTGGATGCGCATGATCCTTGTTAGCGAAACAATTCAAATAAATTGATATCATTTTGGCATAGGTTACGATGAGAACTGAAATGGCTGAGATGCCAAATGGAATTTTAGGTGTGTGAATGTGAATGCAGCTTGTTATCGCAATGAAGTGCTAATTGTTTGCTATTCAATGCATAGCTAATGTTTAAAATTCATTAAACCGCATGAAATATGAGGTTTTCTACTTGTATTGTCTTTGGATCTCGACGCGGCGTGTCGGACGAACCACTCCTAGGTCCGGCGTACCTTTAAATTGATTTTAAAAATGATTAATGATGGCCTATCGATCCATCCATCAAACTCTTAAGTGGCAGCATTCACCGTATCATATCGTATTAGAACGTGGCGCTGTGGTGACTCGTGCGCCTCGTTCGATAACAAACCGTGAATAAATACTACCGCGCACAAAAATGCTAAACTACCAAAATATTTCTGATATAAATTACAATAAAATGCATTCTCCGCGAGGAATAAAACCCCATAAACGCTTGCTTGGAAGATATTAAAATTTTAATGGTATATAATATTTGTTGCGCATGCATGGAAATTATTTTACGATCTCTGTTAATATCAACGTGTTTTATATTTCAGCAGCATCAGTACTCATGCCATTGCGCCACTCTTTTTCGTTGTCGCTCGAAAATTTTAATGTCGGGCGGTAAATAATTTTATATCACATGCAAAGTGTGAGGAAGAAGAAGAAGGAGCCCTACTCCGACATGTTGCTCTCCGCGGATCCGTTCGTTCCGCCCGATTTGACGAGTCGTTTATGGCTGGTCGGCGAATGCGTGCGCGCCGCCGAGCCGAGAACAAGAACTACCGTGGCGGATCGCGGCACGGGGTCGCGTTCATTAGTTTTACATGCGTGGAAAAGATCCCGCCGATCATCACCGCTCGCATTATCGTTTCGCCGCACACGCGAAGATGAAAAAAACGAAACGTCGCCCATCATCTCACCTGTGAGCGCAACTACCACCTAGGTGCTCTGCAGATTGATTTCGTCTCTCCTAATGACCGACCATTAACCCACTAAATTACGAACGCGCGCGTAGTATTCAATGAAGTGCGGACTCAATGGAGCCCGACTATTAAATGTTTCCAAAGGAAACGATGAGGCATGATGCAAGCATCACAACAAGACTGTGAAGGATCACTTGTATGAAATGATCTACTTACAAAAAGTCGATTGGAAACCAGCTGATGATATTCAAACATTATGATTATCCTAACTAGATTTATAAATGCAAATGTGAGTTTGTAATACCTTTCCGGGAAAACCACTGAAACAATTTTGATAAATTTTGGTATAAAGCTATATTTGACCTATGAAATAGCAATAGGCTAAAATAACTTATAAATTAATTTTAATATTGATAGAATTTTTAGTCTATTTGCACTGACTTTATTGATGAATCAACAATTGTTTCGCCGATGAGAGCATCGTTTTATGGTAAAAATATAACTTGCAGGGTGAAAAATAGGGTATGAAAGTTAGAATTGGAATTCAATCAAAATTATAGCTTTTTAATTCCAATTCAGATGGTGCTAAGCCCCTGGCCCCAATAAACATATATTAATTAGAATTAATTATAACATTGTACTACTTTGCAAATTTTTTTCTATATCATCTTGTCGAATTACGTAACAAGGAAAGAAAAATGAAGTCTCGTCAGCTTTCTTAACAACGCCAACAACTAAAATGAAGCGGCAATTGATTTTGAAACTAATACCGTATTTTAAACGTGACAGCTTAGGATTATAAATGATATTCGTTGCCTATTATAACAACGGCTTTTTTATATTCCTTCCTAAGATGCTGACTCTTTACCATGTACAAAACTACAACATGCGAGCATTTATTACAACTACTTTCCTTCATTGGATTCAACCAGGAACCGAATTAACAAACATTGAATACCTACATATCCCTTTCCAAGAGAAGAACCGATCTGTCGTGGCAACACTTTTCTTTCTCACATGTCTTCCGTGAAGCATTCGAAATAAGCACTAATCAGCTATTAAATACCGATTTAACATAAATTAAGAGTAATCAAAGCTCGTCTCTCGTTCTTTGGCCCATAATGTCTATTGTATATTCACGATGCGCTCCGGCTTAGAGTCATGTAAATCGCCGGAGTCAATTTGTGTCCATCACGAGGCGGCCTCCCAAAATAAAGTAAGAAAAATATCTCGTTACGTAAAGTGTTTATATGGCCTACCGGATTTTTAAATGTAAGCACCGCTGTATGGGATGTAAATTGTACAAAGCGTTTTGGTAGAACAAGCGTCAATCACATTAATCTTATTACATCATTTAGGAATTGAAAAGTTTGGGTTAATGTTGAATATGAAATATTTATAAGAAGATGAGTGGATGGAAAATGATATCAAATAAATTATGTTTCAATTAATATCTTAACATCTTTGAAATCTACAGGTTTAGGGTTTATTTTGACAAACACCAATAATACGTTGAAACAAACTTTCTTCTTTCTAATTAAAGTTTGATAAGAAGATAAAAATTATAAGCCCAAACATGCAAAAAATGCAATTTTATCCAGTTTCCCTGAAATATTTTTTAAAAAATGTGATAAATTGTAATTTTTTATATATTTTAGGAAAGTGACTATGTGTTTTTACCCAAAAACATTAATTGCAATGTGGAATAAAATCAAAATACTTATTTAAATTTCATTATTTCTTGAATGCAAATATTTTGATTAGAATGAAAGCCTACTGATAATGTATCCACTACTCGTCCTTTCTGTGAATACCCTCAGATCATATCCTACACAATAAGAAATATAAAACAAAAGAGATCAAATTGTTAGGCGCCAAAGAAGCGCATGGCATCAACACCGCGCGAGAACAAACTATACGCGTGATGCAAAGAAGTGAAGAAGGCAAGAGTGATGCCCGTCGATGCCCATCTTCCGAAGAAATAACCACGCGAGTCAACGGACTGGAAAAAAATCCGTACCATCCGCGCCGATAATAAGCTATAATATTCGGCATCTCTATATTAAATTCCATATTCGATGGATGCCCGCGCGTACGCCGTGAGTGCTCTGCTCGGCCGAACGCTGAGCGCCGAGCTCGTCGTTAATAAAGTACCAATCGACGGGGCAGCCGGCCAACGAAATCCACAACGTTGTCGATACATTGTCGACCCTATTAATTTCCAGTTGGTTAACTGGCCTGGTTATTGGTGCGCCAAACACTATACTTAGCACAATCGTGACATGATATCTCCCGCAACCATAATTATATACATGAACGGGACCGCATTGACCGGTGCCGGTGTTATATCGACGACGACGGCGACGCTGCGCTTTCGTTCTTTCGCGTTGCGCCTAGGTGCGCACAGCATGCCGCGGAAACTTGTACATACCTACATACCTTTCGATTATGACCGGTATGATGCCGGCGAACGCTCTTGACAATCACGAGTGTATTGTCAGTTTAATTCGTACACAAATTCAAAGTCATAGATATTTACCTAACACTAAACTTTCCCAAAACTTTTAAATTTTGTTTTAGTACTGGTAACATACTGTATTTACAATTATTACATACGCAAAACATGTTATTAAAAAATTCATTACACTTTATTGGTAATGTGGTTAGGCAGCAATAAAAAATTATTTGCAATTATTTTGTTTGCACGACTATGCCGCAGAATATAAACGACGAGGTGGAAAGGGTCATGATTAAGGTTGCACATTATGTACCCCAGCGACAATGCACTGGAATGAGCGATAAGAAAAAAATTAACAACGCCCGGCGTATACCGCACGATTAATTGCTTTCCGTAGGTCATTACGAAATTAATTATAATGTACGTGAGCGGCAATATGCTCACCATGTAATAATATTGCACCGATGCGAAATTATTATAATAATCGTACCTGTTAAACGGCGGTTTGTGGCTCTAAACGTTCCATGTTCTCCATTCTGGGTGCACTCACTTGCGAATCTTTAAATTACAATCAAATAATGAGGTGAATCGAATTTAAGAGCTCTGGAACCAATTCGCAACTTTTTTCTTGAACTGCAAAAATGAGCAAAAATATTCAACCGATGCTGCTGCCCGAGTTAAATTTGCAGAAAGCAGGAAGCCGTGTTATCAGCATCATGTGCTTGAGTTTTTATAATCTCGAAATTAAGCAAAACTGAATATGTAATCGATACATGTACAATAAGAAACGAAGTAAAACATTATACGTATTAAACAAACGAATATTTGTTTCATGATAGATATTAAAAGAGAGTCCAAAAATTGCGTTACACGAACCATGCTTTCTTAGTTCTGCCAGTAAGTTTTTAGTATGAAATTGTAAACAACATCGTGGCAAAAGATGTTACCTAGTTATTTGATTGTGCGATTGATAACAGGTTAAGAAAAGATTGAACTTACCTTAAGATAATTTTCCTTATCTTCAGTTCACATATTTCACACTGCGTTCTCAACTCAACTTTTAACTAAATCCGGGGTAATTCAAATAGTACAGGTATAGCCATCTAGCGGACAGTCACTAAACTTGTGGCGGAAAAAGGTTTGACACGTTTGACCGTTACAAAAGATTGATTTCAACGTAACGTTCTTTCAACTCACGTTCATTCGTATATTTTCAAGAATTTGCATGAGGTTTTGCAGTCCTCGTGCAAATTAAATAATATTTCAGACTTATACTCAGTTTACTGAACACTCTACACGCAATAATGTTTTCTACGCCGTCCGCTCGCATTAATAACCAAGAGAGTAAGTTGCATTAGGTGAGTAAAAATTCCTTACTTTTTAACTTAATTTTTCTTATCACAGATGCTGATTCAGTTATGAGAAAACCGCAATTCATGAGCGCTAGAAAAGCGTTTCAGGACCGCGGTGTGAACAACAAAGCTAATCAGTTTCTGAGGAATACCCCAATTAATAAACCCAACCTGAAACCTCTCTGCATCATAAAAACACCTGATGTTAAGCTTCAAGAGAATCAGGATGCTCCCAGTTGGATGACATCTATGTCTTTTAAACCTCCAAGAAATGGTAATCTTAATTTTCTTCTTACATTAACTGTTTGGTAACTTTCTGTTTGCTAATTTATTCCAACAGAAATGGACATGATTCAATTTAGCTCTTCAATGTTCAAAGCAAATATGTACAGCAGACCACCTACACCACCTCCAAGCCCTCTCAAAGACTTTGAATTGGACTTTGAGTTGATGAGATTGCCACCTACAATGTTAAATTTTGATAACATTGCATTTCCCAACATAGAACCTTCAGCTGATTTGATGTTGGATTCTGATCTTGATCTCCTCTTGGAGAAACCACACACTAATTTTGATTATTAGTTGAAACACTGCAAGTAGTTTCAAGTTACTTGACTTTCACAATGTTTGTGATTTAATTATTATTATTATTTGTACCTTTTTGTAATGCTATGTAATTAAAATGAGATGACTGTAATATAAAAGGGTTTTCAACTCTTAATATATTTTTACTAAATAGGAAGCTTATTTTTCTTAAATAAAGGCATTTGATATAATGCCTGAAGTACAACTTATTTCTAAGGATAGAGGATGTTTTGTTCAAGACAGTGAATAATTTGCCATTGATTTATAATTATTTGTAATTGTGATAAAAGTATTCCATTTGTTGTATTGTGCATATTATATCCTTTGAAAATATTCTACAGGTCACGAAATAAAAGCGAATTTTGGCTAAAGTTGGCGTTAAGATGTCAACATCAGTTGTGAAAGTCCTGTTCTAAAAGTTCACCTAGTATTACGCAAACAAAGCCGTTTCAAGATTTAACTACTCACAATAGACCACAAAAGGAACATTCAAGTTTAAAAAATGGCAACAATCAATAACAATAACGGAAGACGGAATCAACCGAGATCAAAATTTGGCATACAATCTGACTAGTTCAAGTAATTGTTCATCTACTCATTTAAATATTGTTCTGTTATCAATTAATCGCACTCGTACTATCTACAAATCTTAATTGATGTCGCGCCTGCACGCAACAAACATTTTTTCATCGATAAATTCTACGCCTTATTTACGTTTTCTAAAACCATGGAACAAAGATGAAGGCAAAACTTCGTGGAAAACTCTTTTAGGAAACCAGCCGACGACGCTTTATGAAAGCCGCCGTTCTGCACCAACTCGTCGCCGAGATTGTTATTAAAATTCTTACAAAACAACAGGATCGACAACGGATAGAAGTACTTATCCATGTTCTTCAACAGCACCATTTCCAAAATGGCGACAGGCAAGTTGTTATTCAGCCAAAATTCAATCGACTTCAGCAGAATATTCTGCATCAAAATATGATTTTCTGAATTGTACGTCTTCTTGATGTAGTATTCGATAATAAACGCCGCCATTTTGATCACTTCTTTGGTCTTTAAATCTTTGACCAATAGATCGATGGCATAATCGATATCTCCACCTTTATCACAATTAACATATGGCTTATCAACAAGCTTCGAGACGCTGGAAATCGTCGGCGTGTTATCATTCTTCACCGACTGCACATACTGCGTCATGGACTGTTTGATGTCGCCCATGTCATTAACTTCACACGGACTCTCACAACCGCCTTGATGATCCAAATCATCCCATTGACGGATGCTATCCAGTGAAGAACTGGTGCTTAATATATGTGCCGGGGAATTCAACGCGTTGAATTCAAATTTAATTCCGTTAAAATCAATTTTCTCGCTTTTCGGACACAATTCACCTAATGCGTTAATATCATACTCTTCTGCTTTCGGGTGAAAGTCTAAATCAAGCGTAAACGGTTCAATATAATTCTTGAATGCTTTCAATTGATATATCAATGAATCACCGTAATGCCCATCCAAAATGGCTACCTTACTAGCGGCCTGCGGATTATTCAACTGTAAACATTTACCGAGAATAAGCTCGCTATCGTAGAAACCGAAATATTGTTCCAGAACGTAATGCAAAGTTTTTTGGCCGATTTTCAACTGTGGAACTTCTTCGACAAAACTGGGATCAAAGTTGATACGAGTCAGCGACCTGCGCTTTGCACTCGGGGCCTTGTTTTCAATGCTAAACACGCTGTTTTGGCATCGATTACGCGCGACTGAAAGTCGTGGATCTGCAATATTGTAATTTATCGCCATGGTTGGCAGACCGGGGACTTCGATTGGATAACCTTCGGCGTTCCCGGAAACTGTGCTTGGGATTTTGACGCAGCGCTTGGTGTTTCTGAATATTAATACTTTCCCATCAGGTTGTTTTTGTTCCTCGTAGGGTTTACCAAGTATTGTCTGCAAAAATAATGACCAAGAAGGTGTAAATAAGTTATATTCAAGTGTAGCATATATATTTTATCAAGAATTTAATTTTTAATCCTACCTGAGCCATATTGTTGCTTCCCCAAGCCAAAACCTTTCCACTGTTTTCCAAGGCCATAATATAGTCCGGACCACAGGAAACATGCGTGAATTTTTGACCCAACGCACCCGGAAAATCATGTTCTCTGACGCGTGCCTCCCCTAAATCACCTTCTCTGCCTCTACCCCACATCAGTTTACCATTGTGCAGGATTGCACAGTGCCGATAACCAGCAGCCACATCTTCAATCGCTTTTGGTTTCTTGCCAGAGTAAATGTGATGTGACTGCTTCCAGGGTTCATTTAGTTTACACCCAAATCCGTTCATCTTCTGACTGAATTTTGTTTGTGCGATGCGCACCTCTTGAGGATTTGCTCCCCAAATAAAAACCTCTTGATCTACTCTTATAGCAATCTAAAGAAAGTACAAAAATATTAATTATCACATACTATTTGCATGTCTTAAAACTTACATTATGAAAATACGCAGTTGAAATTTTTTCAACCTGCGTATAAATCTCCGGCATCAAGAGAATCCACACAGGGGTCGTAGCCTTGGTCGGATCAACATTAACGCTGCCAAGTTGTCCAAAGCAATTCGATCCAAACCCGTAGATCTTCCCATCGATGCCCAATATAATACTGTGTGCGTGACCCGCGGAGATTTGCAGTACGTCCAGCTCAAAATTCAACTTCACCGGCTCGCATTGATTATCACAGTTGCCGTGCCCGAGCTGGCCGTGGATGCCCCATCCCCAGGAATACACATCCCCCGCGGCAGTCAACGCCAAGCTATGGTATTGACCACAGCAGATGTCTACAATGTGCTTGTCGCTTAAAGCGGCTATTACCTGCGGATACGGCGTTTCCTGAACAATAGCACCGAGTCCTAGCTGACCGTAACAATTCGAACCCCATGCGTAAACGCCATAATCCGTCAGTGCTAAAGTGTGCTTTCTCCCACAACTCACACTCAACGCTTTCAGTTTTAGATCCTGTAAAGTTTGCACAATCTTCGGAGCGCTGCTTTGTGTGAGAAGTGGACCTATTCCCAAACAACCGGAAGTTGCAATGCCCATCGTATAAACATTATTGTTGCGGATGATAGCGGCATGTTCATAACCACAACTCATAGGTTGCAAAGGTGGAAACTTGTGTAAATTTGTGCCGTCAGTATTAGGTGCGGTGTAGTTCAATTTTTCAAGCAGGTTTATGTTATAACTATACAAAATACAACTCAATTATTATCATTTTCAAAAATAAACTCTAAAAATACTCACGTTGAATCGCCAGTCTTCTCGATTAAATGTAGCACAACCATTATAAAAGTTTCTATAAAATCCTTAACAACTATATTGCACGTGCTGATGTCGTAATCGATCGAGTCCAGCGTCGATTCAATGTCGCTTTGTTGATGTCTATTCTGCTGAAACATCTTAGCCACAATGGGAAGCGCCACCGGCTGGCTGGGATTCAACTGCTCAAAGAAACGTTTCAAAATCGGTACGCTAAATTCATCCACATGATTCCGAATATAAGTCAGTATCGGTACCGAACATGCCGGGTAAATTAATAGGCTCTGTGTCAGTGATGGTTCGCTCAAAGCGTAGTGAAACTCCCCGACTGTTTGTCGTACCGAATGTGACGAAAGTATTACTTGGCTAAGCGCAGTTACAACTTCCGGTTGCAAACCACGACATTTCGCCAGTAATGTCACCACGTTCCAATGTCCAGCTTGACATGCAACGTTCACAGCTAATACTTGATCGTAATATTCTTCATAACACAAGAAATTCCTGCACACGAATTGAAAAAACAATAAAAATACAGCAAAAATCTTAAAAATTTGACACTTACATAAAATCTTTGGTAAATTGCATTCGTACTTGGCCGTTATTACGCAGTACCATTTCAGTATGCGCCATAACACCCAAATTACCGATATGAATCTTCGTTGCCATCGACATGTCGACTTTGCTCGAGCTGAGACATAGATTGATGTACTTTAACAGAGCCTTGCAATCAGCAGACACAGCTAATTTCAGCACTCGTTTAAGTAGGTGCACCTTTGCCTGCTTATATAAAACTAATCCCTGGTGGTACTGATCCTTGGCGATCAGAAGATCGCCGCATATCTCCAGCAGCTGATGTAAATTCAATCCGCATACTAACGCTACGCGCTCGGCTTTGATAAGATTCCAGTCCTCGTTGATTAGCGTGATGAATTTTTTAACCGGCGATGTGCTGGAAGCAAGCGTTCAGATCAATAACCCATGAATATGAAGATAATAGTCATGGTACTTTTAACTTGGCGTTGCAGGTAACTGAATAATGCAAATCAACCGCCACGAAAATTATACCGGTGATGATCTTAATTATTTAGAAATTGCAGTGCTTCAATTTCAAACCTATAATCATTATATGCGAAGTTAAAATAAAAATTCGACTTTTACTTCGTGAAACACGCAGTAACTAATTTTAAATAATGTAAGAACAGTCCAAATCGATTAATATTTAGTAATGGCTTACCTTAATGTAATCTTGTAGATGGAAACGTTGGTGATTACAACGCAGGTATCGATCCTCACTTTCGGAATGTTAACGTCGTCAATACTGATCGGCAGCGCGTAGGTTTTATCCTTCCGGTCCTGCTTATTCTTGATGATTGTGGTGTCGGTGACTTTGAAGATGTTGAGTATTCTTTCTTTGTCGCGATCAAATGTAAACTGTCCAATGAGTGCGTCTGGATTAAATTCGGTGTCACCTTCGAGTCCGCATTCAGAGAGCTGTGAACTGATGATGGTGATACTCGTATAGGTATCATCAATGACAAAAATCAATCGGTCCGTTAGCAAGATGTAATCGGACTTGGCGGGTAATTTGTGCGTGTAGAGAGGTGCTGTGTCCACGTCAACTGCGTGAACCTGTAATAATTTAATTTTAATTTTCTAGCTTTTATATTTACGAGTTAAAATTTACGGTAAGTAGACTTGAGGGCCGATAGAATGCGCAGAAGAGATAGCGGTTACGTGCATGCTGTGCAGAGAAGTAAGTATCACATAGATGCGGAAGCAGTTCCGGTACGGAGTTCACCGATTGTACCGACTCGGTGTGAGAGCTCTCGCTGTTCGTGTCACTGGCCTGACTGTTTCGGCGTGAGTGCCTGCCCTCGCCGAATTTCAGCCGTAGTGAAGCTAGTTTTTCTACACCCATTTGTTTCAGGTTGTAGAGACGCGATTTGGACGCCTCTTCAGATGTAGTTGAGTCTGGCGGCCATAAGTATCCGCTCACACGATGTTCAAGTACAAGACGCCATTGTTGCCCGTTTTCACTATTTATCTGTCAAGAATTACCATATAACAAGAATCGTTTATTTGATTCTACTTTATAGTTCCATGAAAAACTTACAAGTAAAAAAGTTGTATCAGGATTATGACAGAGGTTCAACTGAACCACAGCTTCATTAATACTGCACACACCAAGACACCTGCCATCTGTAAGACTGACTAAACCAATGGAGCCATTCTCATAGCCAACCAAAGCATTTTGATTGCAATCCAGGGTTTGCCACCACACCACACAAAGAGCTTTTGCATCTGGCAGGTTTGGATGTCTGGGAAAATGTGTGACATCATTCACTGACCATTTGCAATCAACCTTTTGTTTCTTATCAACTAAACTTAATGCAGGAATTATGTACAAGGAACCATCAAGTGCTAAAAATATATTTACACATATTAAACTTTTAAAAACTCTTTAATTTTGAATTACTTACTAACAACTAACAACCATGTGCCTGTTGTATCAAAACAGAGTGCCTGAATAGTTTTGGCCATTTCTTGAAGCCATGGTATATGCTTGAGTACAGCTGGAAGATCCCCAAAGGTGTAATGCAAGACAATATCTCCATTTCTAAAAGCAAATGTCTCACTTGTAATTGATGATCTCATTCATAGTTTCAAATAGTTTTAGTCATTTTGAGATAGGAGTGGTATTTAGGGCTTACTCAGTGATGAGGGCAATCAGTTGTTTCACCCCATTCTCAACCCTAGCGCAAAAACGCACGTCCACATTCGCTATGAGACACTTCAAGTTGAAGATGTCCTGCAGCGAAGGGAGAGACATGTTGAGCGCGGGTGGATTGTCTCACATTGCATTAGTTTAGTGCAGTTTTCACAAACAATTAGTGTTATTGTTTTAGGTGCATCTTGTTTCACTGAGTACACTCGGAATCACCGCAGTAACTAATACAGCTGACAAAATGTCAAAGGGTCTTTAAGAAATTCGCAACATGCGCGACATCTTGCATGGGATAGTTTAACATCTTGTGACGATGAGATCAGTCAACGCTTGTTGAAGATGTCATAATATAACAACAATTTAAAATTCAACAAATACTTTAACAAATAGAAACTAGAACATGGCACAATTACAAATGGTAAGATATTACTTTATATATACTATTGTATATATTTAGTTTGGTGTAAGACACATATTAAACTTGTTTTGCAAGTTGATGAACCTCAATTCTAGTCGAATGTTGTTAGATGGTTGCCATTAGCAACCAGCGCAAAGTATAAATAATATCAAGCAGGTGCAAATTATCTACTTGATTACTTGAAGGTTTACTTGACAGAATTCATAGTTCAAAACCTACACTACGCCATCATACGTTCACGGACCAAAACTTACATTTATAAAAATTATTTATTCCGTTATTTCATTGATTAAAGTTTTACTTGGTTTTACGGCGCTCACTGCCTCCGATATTCTGTATAGTCATGTCCAACTGAAGATAAACATTTATTTTACATATTGACAATGTCTCTACGCCCTAGTATGTTTCTTATTAAGCAATTGTAAGTATTATTTCAATTATTGTAAAATATACCGGAACATAACCTGAATGTTTTCCAACGGGCACTCTAGCAATACGCTTTAATAATGTATATTTTCAGCTCCGTATGGATTTGAATTTTGACATGAGTTTATTAACAATCTCTACAAAAAGGCGACGCCAGTCCGGCCTCCTCGGATGTGTGCCTCCTCCAGGAAATGAAGACCCTGCTGAAGATGATGTTGATTCCTCTTTAAATTTAAATCATACACAACCCTCATGCTCTACAAGCTTTGTTGAACAAACTGTGCCAGCAACATCAGAATATTCAGAACCATCCCCCTCACAATCACCCACATTTTCACCTGAAATGGGCAAGACTGATTCAAACCTACCGGTGCGGCGATCTTCAAGAAGAAAATCTGTGATAAACATTGAATCATTGTCATTGCCATGTCCAACTTCACCAAATATACAAGAAGCTGATGTGGAACCAGACTTGAAGAGATTAAAGAAAATATATCTTGATAAACGCGTGCGAAAGCGAGTGCCATCCTTAGAGACGATTTTTGAAACGCCGTCCGATGATAAAATTATGAGTAGCAGGAAATTTAAGCGTTTAATTAGTTTCCAAGAACTACAGAAAAACAAGGTGCGCAAGCATCCGATGAAAGCAAAGCAAACCGTCGCGAATTACAACAAGCTAAAACGAAAGAACAAAGTATCTATGGACGCGTTAATGCAGAAATTGAACAGTTTGGAGAATGATTCTTAAATTTTCAGAGGCAAAGACTGACGTTTTTAAATAATCTATCATATATGCCTTGTTTTACAAGACTTATACAATGCTCACTATGTTGGCAAAAATCGACCGTTTTAATTTCCATTTTTACGTCTAACGAAGTTTTAAAAGGATAATGTATATTAGTGATGGTTTTTGCAGCTGCATACAAGATTGAGCCTTTTACCAAATAACAATTAAAGCTGTTTTTACGCTTTTCTTTAAATAACAACAAAATGTTTAATAATGATCAACCCGAAGATTATTCAATTATTCACAAAGAACAAAAACGAAATAAAAAGAAAATACAAACATAGTGCATTGATGCAGGATGTTAAACCAAATGAAACGCATATTGCGACATGATCTTCTGTTGTTAGTACTAATAAATAGATATTTTAAACAAACGTTCGACTCCTCAGTGATGACTTGTAACATCAGATACAAAAATGACTTGCACTTGTGATATCTTACTGAGTTTACTGTTAAAATCGTTTAATTTGTAAATTGTTTACTTATTACTTGGTACAGGATGGTGCGAAGGGAGCGGAGCACTACAGGTACATGAGGCCACTGGAGGTGGCGTACGCCATCAAAGTACTCGCCGCCTGTTGCGTCTCTAAGAGTATTCGCGTTTCGTTCATCCACTGCCTGGCGATGGTCCGAGGCGCACCTTTCAGGAGGTTCATATATTTCAAAGCCTGAGCGAAATCACCACGATCCAACCAATATCTGTCACGAAAATTATTACAATATATAAAGTTGTAATTAAAAAAATTCAAATAGTTTACCTGGCACGCTGAAGAACATCGTTGTTGGTGAGTTTTGTAAAGTCTACCTTATCGTCGTTCATTTCTGCGACGGGAATCGGATTAGTGGCATTCATCAGGAGCAAAGATTGCAGATACGAAAGGAAGTAGAGGTGTAGACGCCCGCCAGTCTCCGGCAGTAGAGCGACGTTGCGTGCTACTTTTTCAACTGCCAAGAAACGCTCACGGAGCACATCTTCAGGGAATACTCCGCGAGATAATGCCTCTTCTGGTATGGCATCGATTACAGCGTTGACTAATTCATCTGTTTCATCTATAGATAAACAAAGAACGAAATTATTTCTTTGAGGAATGTGTCATTCATTTGTAATAATTTACTTGACGCTTTTTTGACGGCAGTTATTTCATCCTTAAGTGGTCGAAGTTGTTCTTCGGCTGGTTTTCCAACTGCGCTGGTTTTGACAGCTTTGATGAGCGTTTGACACGCACTCCATAAGATTTGCGCTTTCTTTGCCGTCTTATCCGCATCGCTTCTTGCTATAATGAGGTAATAAATAAAATCACTTGTTTATTTGTAGTGCTGCCAATTATTGCTATCATAAAATGTAAAAATCAAGTGAAAGCAGATGAAACAAAAAGTGAATTCATGCAATCATGCGCAAATCTAGATCATAAATACCTGAATTCTCACCTGCGTCATGAAGCAGCATGAAACAAATGAATATTAATCACAATCACACTCGAAAAACAACACAGACACAAGTTCAAACTGATTTTTGTTAGCAAATGATTATTTTCTATGTGTTTTTAACTCTTTTTTTACCTTTCAAAGCTTCTTCCATACCACGCAACCTTCCCACCATGGCAGACACTTGCATCTTGTATTTGGTCCTCTCCAGTTGTAACTCCTCGTCGAATTTTCGATTCAACAGACGCTCCATTTCCTGTTCGCGCGTTCTAATCGCGTCGTCCAAGTGATCAGTGAATGCTTCCGATTGCAATTTTAATTTATTTCTTAATTCGCTTTCTGATTGTTGCCGTAATTGTAAACACTAACAAAACAAAGCGGACATTTCATTCACATGTAAAGAATATTAAATTAACGTGTTACCTTTCGATTATGTTGTAATTCTAAAGCACGTTTCTCCTTCTCCAATTGTTGACAAATCTGCTCCCTGGTAAGCGGTTCCACGTTACCAGTTCTTTTCGCTTCATCGATAGCATTTTGCAATCGCTTGTTACCCAGTGTATCTAATCGGTTGAGCTCCTTTTGGAAGAAAAGCACCTTGCTCATTGCATGCAGAACAAATAAATCAATATCGCTGCTCGAGATCGCGACTTCTTTCTCGTTGAAGTTGATGTTCGGGAATAATGCTTCTAATTCTTTACTAAAGTGTTTACGGGCTTGATCAACCTTCTCCCAATACTTCTCCGTCAATTTGGAATTTTGTAGTTCAACATCCATATCTTTGCGCGACCTGGCTAAATCCTCCTGAATGCGCTGCATGTTCGCCTTAGTGCGCTCGAACATCGCTTCCGGTACGTTTTTCTTGTCGACGCGTCCCAGCATCTCTTTCAGTTTGCTAATACTGCAAAGTGCTTCCTGACTGTGGAGCTCCGCCTCCTCGATTGCTTGATTTTTCTCGATAGTTTTCTCCTTGAGGCCATTCCAAACATCCGGATGAATATTCTCGACTGACTCCTCAACAATCACCTCGATATCGTAGTTGTAGTTTTTCAGCGCGTATAATGAGCGATTGAAAGCCTTCACAGCAATCATAGCATCTTCGCTCATCTTTGCTTCTAAATCGGCAATCATTTCTATCGGAGTTTTCTCGTTTTCACGGCGTTCAGAAAATGGCAGCGTTTCTAGTTTGGTATCGTCTTTTCCAGGAACTTTTTCGGAGACGCGGATTTCGGCGTATTCTATCGGTGGTTTCGTTTCTTCAGCTACTTTATCAAAGACAGGCGCTGGAGCTGAAGTCAAAAATGTTTTGATAGGGAATTTAATCAATTATTAAATTTACTTTACAAACCTTGATATTGAATAGGTTTCTCTGAGATGCTCTTTGACTTGACGAGGATCGGGCCAGCTTCTTGCTGCTTACGCTTCGCAGCGGTACTATCATCGCCCTCCATGAAGATAAGAGCGAGAAAGTCATCAAATCCGGGGACATAATCGTTAATTGTTTTACGGAAGTCGTCGTCATATTTGGCGTAGCCGATTGTGGCGCTCGCTGCGACGGCGAGTGCCCCAAATGTGTACAATGCCCCGGAACTGTTCTTTACTTCCTTCGGCGGACATAGATCCTCTTTGCCTGGTTTGCTCGCTTGATTACGTGTAAATGCTTTTTTCTCAACCTAAACATCAAACAAAAACATCATAATAAATTTCTAATGGAAGTACAATCGATACAATCATTAAAAAACAATTTAAATAATTATGGTATGAATTTTAATATTTTCATAAATTCATGAAATTTATAGTAGAATTTTGTGCGTTAAGTACGGTCCTGTGCATATTTTGTTAGGTTATGTCAAAAGAAAACGAATTTTGAATCTTTCCCTTAAGTCCCGTTGAAATACCTCGATTTTCCTCAAATTTTCGTTGCATATTATTAGCTACATGCGATCACTGGCTATTTTTAGCTTCTTGGGTGTTTATCGCGCGTGCAATTAGAGTTGTAATCGAAAAAGCAATGACATAACATCCCTGTCAATCGGTTTCAATGTTTCGTATCGAATACAACATACGCGAAGCTGGGAAAACTCACCCTGTAGGAATTTAGGAGTTGCGTTCGCGAAGGCAACTTCCTGACGATCCGGAACATCTTGCTGGGGCACTCGTCTCGTCTTCACGCCACGATCACCGACGGCTAAACACTTCGCCACGGTCAACAATCGCGCGACACTGACTCGCGCACTCGAATATTACGCTGGTTGTGGTGTGTCAAAATAGTAACCTCCAAATCGCACTTGCGCTGAGAATCTGACTTCATAAATTTAAACGACGAAAAATTAGCAGAAGAGATACATTAATTGACGGTGTGATTCACGGATGCGTTCGCTTTGATTCGTTGCGATGTTTCGACTCTTAGCACGCGGTGAGTAAAATTCCGTCAGTTTTTATTCTTGTATGCTCTGCTAGGGATGAATTGATGATACACGGTACAGGGATTTAGTGTCTCACGTGAAAACGTAGTTTTGAACTTTAATTAACACAATTTTGACTGATGTCGCTCGATTTGCTAATTATTTCATGAATAAATTTTATTTGTTTCTCAGGTAACAAATTACGTATAGTGATTTATGGTTATAAAGTTTTATGTTGGCAATAGACACGTGGGTTATTGTTTATTTCGGTCATACACATGATAACTTGCGTTTTTCTTTCTTTGTCTAACATGGTTATGTAACAGTTTGAACTGTAAAAAATAGCCTAGGCTATGAAGTGATGTTTTACTTATACCCATTTATTTCTTATTTTAGCACTTCAAAACCCATCTATAACTATTCAAAATGGACTCTCACTCAAGCCCGCAACGACAATCATCAATAGAATAGACATTAGTAAATTTTCCACTCTTCAAGTGGCAAATACAACCAGCCCCAAATTACTAGCACTTCCAAAAGTGCAGGAAATTAGTAATTCGATAACTCGCAACCTTGTAAAGTTCTCCTGGGGCAAAGGGAAGCGGAAGACTTGCTCTGCAGTATTGAAAAGGTTCTATCGCTTGAGTTGGGGCGGTTGGATCCATACAAAATGTGGACGCAATAAAAAAATATGGAAAAAACATGCGGCACGCAAACGTAGACTGCGTCAACACGTTTTATGCAATGCGTCCCAATCGCATCTCTTAGATAAGATGGTGAACAACTTTTGGAGAAAGCCGAAATATTGGGTAGACGATCCATACGAGCCTTATCACAGCCGAGAAGAGTTCGTGACCACTTACAAGAAACCCAGAGCATATATTCCGTTGAGATAAACGTGAAAATTGAGACAACCAAAAAAAATTAGCGAGTCTTGTTCATAATACTTAATAAATCATGTTTATAGATGTATTTTTGCTTTGTTTGAAGTGAAATAAGTAGTTTTTAATATTATTTAGATGTTTAAATTTACGTTATGATGTTGCGCATTTTACCAATTCCTTCAATTTCGCTCTCGAGAACGTCTCCAGGTTTCAAAAACTCCTGTGGATTTCGGTGCATACCTACTCCTGCAGGTGTTCCGGTTAAAATGACATCGCCAGGGTAAAGTGTCACAATTCTATAAGAAATAATATTTACATTCAATCTATTCGATTATTTTAAATTTTACTTACTGTGAAAGATAGGAAATCAAGAAATCAATCTTGAACACTAATTCAGATGTATTTCCGCATTGTTTTTGTACGCCATTGACAGCGCTGGTGATTTTTAGATTGTCTACATCAAGACAACCCTTTGTGATGACCGCAGGTCCAAGTGGACAAAAAGTGTCCATTGATTTACCCAGTAGGAATTGACCATTGTTACGCTTCTTTTGCCAGTCTCGTGCGCTGATATCCTGCGCTACCGTGTAGCCGAAAATGTAGTCTTGCGCTTTGTCACGGGTAATTGCCTTTCCCTCTTTGCCTATCACAACTGCCAATTCCACTTCCCAATCAACACTCTAGTTATGTACATAAAACAAGAAAATATGTAAAATGCGAAGTTTTAAAGCTGATAAAATTAAATATTACGTTTGTAATTGGTGGTATAACGACGTTGTCGAATGGCCCGACGATTGTACTGGAGAATTTACTGAAGAACATTGGTTCTTTAGGTTGTGGAATGTTTTGTTCTTCACAATGGCCGCTGTAGTTAAGACCTACGCATACGACTTTGTCAGGACGAGTTACGGGCGCAAGGAAAGTCACATCTTTGGGATCTACGCAACTATGGCCATTTGCTACGATTCTATAAAATAAAACAATGTATAAACATGAAAGAAGTTTGTTTTCATTTGTATTCATGACGTCAAATTTGGTCAAATTATGATTTATTTGCACAAGTTTTTTATACCTTGGTGCTTAAGTGGATATAAATTGAGGTAATATGATAATAATAGTCATAAGTAAATGTAAACATCCATTAGGTGATAATTATGTGTTGATTATTGCTGTTACTCGAGTTTCTATCAGCTGATAGAGATTGGAGTCTCGTGATATTTGTTTTGTAGTTATTAATATTTATATCATAACAAATGACCTTGACTAATATTTTTTAACAGTGACACCAAACTAATTAAATAACAATTAATATTTGCCACGAAAACACTCAATCGCCATTTTATTTTAATGCATATACACAAATATGCTTCTTTACCTTTTAGCTTTCTCAATAGCACTAGGTCCAGCCTTTAGAAACTTCACCAGCGAATTCGGTATAGTAGAATCCACCGCGCTGATGTCGAATATATCACCACCCGCGCTAAGCTGCGCCCCTAAATGTTGCGGCCCGCCATTTTTACCCTTAAATTGCACAAAACGCATGTTGCGGCCGTGAGACAAACTAAAACTGCGCGTCGCCTGAGCCTGCAACTGGGCGGCGAACTTCACCAGCGATACCGATGTGTTCATTTTATACTGCCACTTCACAAAAAGGTACAATACTCGACGATGTAAAAAATGCAAACACTCAAATACAATACACTCAGTTATATAAATCTAACTGTGTAATCCAACAAAACTTGTTTTACGTTAAGGTTGTCACTTGTGGTGGGGTTTGCTTTACAAACAATGTTCAGATATTAATATTTATCAGTTTAGGTGGGTTTATATTATCATGTAATTATATTATCAACAGTTCACACACGTAGTTCAATAAATTGTATGTAAACACACTAAAACATGATAAACACAACTGAATTTAGTTGCCCCTGTATCAATTTTACCTCAGTTGCGTACAAGTATTTAAGTCAGGTGAAAATGGGCGTCAGGTAACACTATCACAGACGGTAACAAGCAAATGCTATCGTTGTTTGTTTGTAAACGTGAATAAACCTCACAGGCGGCACACTACAGCACCTTGACTGGTCGAGACTATGGACGAGACTGATCCCCTGCCTATGCCACTGCCTCTACTGATCAAGCTGACTATGTAGTTGACTTAACTCATGATTACTCAAAGTTGACTAAACCTGCTCTGGAAATCTCCCTTTCACACTACACTCTGTTCATGATCATTTTCTAGGTAATTTAAAACAATCATATTGTTTTAATTTTTTTTCTTGCGTTGCTCACAATTTTTGGTTTACTGCAAAGTGTTAAATTGTGGTAGCAAAGAAAAATGCCTCCCTTTATTTAGTAGAATTCTATTCATGCGAACAGAATATATTATTGTGTGTATTCTGCTTTGCATTTTCAATTCATAGCAGTGCGTGTGGATAAACCGGTTTCATTTTAATGGGCCAGACTACCCAGACCCATAAAAGTCTTCTCCCAGGTCAACGTTTAAGCCTCTTAAAATAAATGCGTACATTTTGGTGGTCAGATAAGGTTATGCCAAAAACTGCTTCACCTTTACATTTGAACATAACCGTATTTTTGGGCTGTATGTGTATGTACTTGACTTAAGTTTGTTTTATACTTGATGGCACTGAATAATTTGCAAAAATTATGATTTACCTTGACACAGATTCGTTTCGGTGAATTCACTGAATCTACTATAAACTGATGCCATAGTTTATACAATTTAAATTCTACAAAAACAAACACGCAAGCCATCAAATTTATTTGATGTTATGACATACAAGGTTGCATTCTCATGCGATGATTACTATTTTTTGTAATTTAGACGCGTTTAAGAATTAATTATTGACTTTAACGATAGAAATATAACACAGGTTGCATTATAAATTTATACAAATTTCCTGCGTATATGACTAAAAATAGAGGAGAAATAAAGTTTTGTTTTGTTATTATCTGTGACAAGCAAACATTAAATATAGATAGTATCTGCTACACTTCAAATTGTTTTCATGTTCGAGTAGTTATCGTTTGTTTCGCGATAGCAACATGTGATTTTTTAAAAGTTTAAATTTGATAATGATGTTGATGCAAATAACAATGATAAAAATGCAATAAATCCCAATTTAAAGTAGATATGTATCGTATTACATCACCCAACAACCGACACAAGTAACCAACAGAAAAACTGTTTGAATGAATGACGTCCATTTGATTTCTCCACGGTTTAAATATAAATATAAGTTTCCGTTCAATAACATCAGGAATTTTGATAAATAAATTATATGAAGGTCGAATACAACAATTAATGAATAATTAACAACCTCTCCAACCAAGCTGGCTAATGTGTTTTTGTAATGCGCTTTGGTGAAAGTAAAACTCAACAAAACATAAAGTTAGAATAAAGTTGTTTGGATCATCATCAAAATGGCAGCAATTTTTGATAATTTCAGGTTAGATATAACCAAGTTCTGAGTGCCCTGCTTTATTTAATGTAAAGTTCATTTAATGCAAGCAAATTTATAAGGTTTTCACTTGATTCCGATCATAGATTAACATTCAATACAACAATTCTTGTAATACGATATAAATTTCCGTTGACATCACTGATAGTTTACAATATTTATAGTTCATTTGCAAATGCTGCACAATCATTATTGTTATGTTTATTTTGTGCTCGTATAATATAATCTCCAAATTGATATCAATTTCGTATCATTATCGTATCAATTACTCAACATGTAACATGCAAAAATACGTGCGGTGCACAATACTTGACAAAAGAGGCGCACACATGATATAATAAAATATGCACCACCCACAGTTTTACCTTCCTCTCTAACATCACAAATCACAAAAAATAAAGACGGAAACGTGTGAACGTTCCTATAAATACACATTTTAAAATTTCATAATGTTGATTGTGATGTTAGTGTCAATACATATATATCTTTGAAGTGTATAAAGTATAAATATCTCTGCAATATTTTTGGTTACCATTTGTATGATATACAATTACAACTAAATCAACATAAATATTCGTTGGATCAGATATTAACTAAATAACTGCCCTTTGCAGTCAAGTTCTTAACGTTAATGCTTATAAATAAATCATATAAATAATAAATCAAATGTACATTTGTTACAATACTTCGTTAATTTGTAATTAATCAATATAGTTTAGACTTAATTCAATATATAGATCCATTTTAATGTTTTATAAGTTACTGATATCTTTAAATATGTTGTCTTTTAATAATTTCTCGCTAGCATTTCTAAAGCAAATAAATAAGTATAGCAAATAACGGGAGTTATTATAATCAGTAAAATCGAAACAACCTAATTATTAATAAATATATTCCCTAAATCACATGTGCATGTAATTTATAGACACTTCACATTTCATACCCTCTAAAACGTTGTTTCAGCATCTAAAAATGTTTTTAGAGTAATCTGACGTATGTGAAAGCTCTGGGAAAACAACAAACAAAATTAAAAGGCACTTTATTGACTGGTTTCGTATAGGTTAGATTTATTTCTAGGCCATTGGCCCCGCCCTCAAAGATTAGTTCGTGGGGCGTGGTTTAAAAGTTCTCTTGATGCCCAGAAAGCATCTGCAGTTGCTGCTCGAGTCTTTGGTTGTTTTTAATAAGGTACGCGTTTTCAATGTATAAATTACCCACCAATACATCGTTATCCGCAAGTTTTTCATGCAATTTGGTGCCGAGGCGAAACTGTTGATCCAATTTTGTGTACGCGTGTTGCAGGGAGTGGTAATAACCAGAACATGCTGCAAAAAAAGTAAATTGTTTAATTGTTATTCAATATTTACTTTGATTTTATGTTTTTTTACATTGCCTGAGTTGTTCACACAGTCGCTTATGTGACTTCAATTCGGACTGCAGTTCCATACACCTCTTCTCGAGATGTCCTCGTTGTTCCATTAAAATTTGTACTTCATTCTGTCGCGTAGTTATCGCCGCCATCTTGTTAGATGATTCGTTATTATAAGAGCCATTGTTGTCACTGCTGTCGCTCGATGTGCACCGCTTCAGATTCCTCGCCGGTTGTGTGAGACTCCTCACGTGTCGTCGATTCTTTTTCGTCTTCAAAGGCATCACGGTTTTGTCCACTTTCACCGCTGGAATGGATGAGGTAGGTGTAGGTACGAAAGCTGATATGTTCCCCATGTTCCCAAGCGCATTATTAATCTTAGGCCATGCGACTCCTCCAACTCCAGAATCTTCATGCTCCTCACTCTCCTTTTGTGGAGGTGGAGGAATGTAACAATCAAAGTGGACTTTTGTATACGCCAAATTCATAAATCTCAAATCATCCACTTGGGTAGCCACTTCTTTTGTATTCTCAAAATAATTTTTTTGGGATTTTAAACTCAATTCAAGTTGATCTTTCAGGGCCATATTCAGAGATTCTTGTTCTTCTAGATCCATTTGCGCACGAACTTTATACTCCTCATATTCTGCTTCTAAATCAGTATACTGTTTCTCAATCTGTGTTTCATTGATAGTTGTCAAGCGTTTACTATCTTCTAAACATTGTTCTTCATATTCTGTTAGTTTACATACAACTTCATTAAGTTTCTCACTACTTTGAAGTTGTTCAAGTTCATAGATTCCGCGCTCTTCCTCAAGTTTCTTCTGCCAGTAATCCTCGCACATCTCATATTCTTCATTAAGCAGATTCAACCCTTGCTGCAACCCATCGCATTTTTCCTGCAATGTTTTATTCTCTCCTTCGAGAACAGTTATTCTAGTTTTGTAGTCTTGAAGAAGTTGGTCGTTTTCGTTTGTAGGTTTAGTTTCGTTGTGTTCAGTAGGCTTCATTGGCCTAGTGGGTGATTTTTGGTCTATCGATAGGTCATCAACCCCAATTGCTCGGGGAATAATGAAATTCGTTCGTTCGATCGGATCAATCGTCAGTGCTGCGCGAAATTCGACCGCGTCTTCGTCATGCATTGCGCTGAGAAGATGGTCGACCACCTGCTCCAACATTCTCGTGTAGTTTTCCTCTGAATTCTAAACATAAAACAACCAAAAATAAGCTATTTAATTACAGAAACAACGACTTTCTTTTGTGATATAAGCGTATTGTTCTTGAATTATCCGTACTATAAAATCAATACGGAAGGCGATTAATACAAAAATTGTTTTATTCCATACAAAGTTGCGTGAATTTCGTACGCCTCATTGCACTTATATATTTTACGATCAACTTTACCATCTGTCATGCATGATTTCAGCTGGAAATCATTTTGCACGAAGCTTGACACACATGCTTACAATAGAATTCGAAATCTACGCAAAGCCGTTATTCTTTTGTTCGGCATTGAAAATACAAACATTGTTCAATTTTACGCATCCATAAATGGTTGCGGCAATAAATTCTAATGCAAATTTTATTATTGTATTGCATTCATTTAGCCTAAATTTATCGTAAACTTTTATTTTTAATATTTTGCAAATAAAGAAGACCCTCTTCCTAAATAGAACAAATATTTAAATAGAGATTAGTTGCCTCATAATTTACAAAGAACGCATTTATCTTGTAATTTCACTAAGGTAATTTGTTTATGTCTTGCATGTTCATCTCGCCATAAAATCATTTACACGACATTTTAAAAGTTTCCTGCAATTTTGTTATTCCGCTGATTTCAAACGGTCGGCCGCTTGTGCTCTCGCTAATTGCTACGCCTTTTACTAGAGTGCACTCACGATGCGCAATAAAAGTCGCCGCATTCCAACAAAAATATTAAATCAAATAAAATCGCCCGAACTAGGCCAACCTTTAACGATTTTATGCATTTTTAAATCGTCATGATTAATGGTTTCAAGTTTGCACTATAATTAATTACTATAATTAATTTTATGAGCTTTTTACGACTGTTTTGATACAATTCATAACAATAATGACAGCAACGACACTCAGTATGATGATGAATATCCCGCTGATTCCAACGAGTGGAAAGTTGCAATTAAGAACTGATCGTAGAAGTGACACTCACCTCATTGCAATCCAGTTTAATGGCGTATTTTCGTAGCAGTCGGTCAACCAGCGACATTTTGTTTCTCAGAGACGATGTCAGCGTGCCGTCCTCTTCGTCCACATCGCTCTCGACGTTAACGGACAGAAAAGATGTGTCCAGAGCGGTCGCTTCTTTGGATTCGTGAAATTTTCGCATTTTTCCCAGTCGCGGACTTCCAGTAACTTTAAAAGACATTAAATATAAACAAGTGAAAACCACTAGATCTAACAAGGTGGAACAAAACAAAAGAAGAACATGCGTGAAAACAAAAGAACAAAACGTTGAATTACAAAATAGTCAAAACATTACCATAATATGTCGATGAAATACATTAATTAAACGAAAGTTTTGATTAGGCAAAGCGAATTAAGTAAATGCGGACTAGAATGACCGCCTCAAACATTCTAAATTACGCAAACACGATAAGATATCCAAGTTCGGCGAATAAAAGTGGTGACGCACTAGTGACTTCGTCAATGATTAGTTTTAACGGATATTGATTAAACGCATAAATATTTTGCTATTAATAACAATTAGGTGACTTACTGGCACATTCAAAATGTAATTCCTCATTCGTAACTTCTCCGTTTCTTCTCTTCGCTCCCAATCCAATGCCATCCAAGTAGATCGCCTCATCACAACTTTGAATCTTTGGTTTTATCTTGCCCATTGCAATCTCTTTATTTAACTCTTCAATCTGACAAATCATCTCATCATTCTGATCCTTCAGCTCACAATTCTCCCTTTTCAGTACGCCAATCTCATCAAGCAGTTCTTCACTTCTAATTGTCTCAACCTCCAACACTTTTAATTTCTCCAACTCTAATTCATCAATTTGTTGCTCAAGATTCAACTTCACCCCTTCTAACTCAAACACTTTACTGGCCAATTCCTTGTTTTCACCCTCAACAACTCCTAAATAATTCTGTACACTTTGCAGATTATCTCTTAGCATTAACTCTTCGCTCTCTAAAGTCTTTATTTTCTCCTCCAAGTCTTGATTACTCAACAACATTTGCTCCTTTTCATTAGAAAACTGATCAGACAATTCCCGCAACACTTCAGAATGTTTTGACTCTAATTGTTTGACTTTATTTTCAGTATTCAGTTCCATTTTTAAAACATTCTCATCCACTTCTTGCGCGAGCAGTGTCGACCTATTGTTAGCTTCAGAGATATCAAACTTTAGTTTTTCTTTCTCTTCACATACTTGTTGAAGAATTGATTTTAAACATTTAATTTCGGCTTGGTAAATTGTAATAAAAGCTTGTAGTAAAGCAATCAATGGATTGCATGTATGATCAATTCGCAACTCTGATAAACTTTTGATTTCTTTCTGTAATATTGTAGCTAGTTCGGAGACATCAATGCTCACATTGGAATTGAAGCCTAAATCTTTTAATAATAACTTAGGAGATGAAATACCTGCCGATTCCCACATTTCTGTTATCACATCAAGAGTGACATATCCAGAACCATCAGGCCCCAACTTAATGTTAACTAATTTCTCATTCTCAAGTTGCTCTGTGGAATCCTCCAAGATAAAAGTCGACTGCCTCCTACCTCTACTCACATTTCTATCATGTTCAATTATTGATGGACTTCCAACGCCTCCTAAGAAATGGCTCCACGTATCATCCTTTTGTAAAGCTTCCAATAACTCTTCAAAACTTATTCGTTTATTGAAATCCAATCCCGAGTTATGGGAGAGATGGCGGATTACATTATCAGTCAAATTATCTAAACCTATCGCTTCAAATACAAGAATCAACTCTTTTTGATTCAAGTATCCATCTTCACCAACACCTAATTTTCTCCAGGCTTCTCGGAGCATTTCCTCCGTACAGCCATCGGTCATACTCGACGTTGAAATGTTTGAAATAAAACTGGTTTCATCATATGAAGTCACACTCGGTACAGAAGTGCATCGCTGCAATCTGCTTGGTTTCACTTGGGGCCTTACATGATCCGCCGTTGAATTAGATCGTTGGATGCCATTCGAGGTGTGTAGACTATTAATACCAATGGGAGATTCATCAATACGTGGGCGGCTTCTCCTTCCGTACTTTTTGGATCCTACCACGTATTTCGGAGCTACTTCGCGCTCTTTATCAGGGCTTTCTTTCTCTATAGCATTGCAAATGTCTCGATCTTTATCCTTCTCACGATTGTGATTCTGATCTTTCGCTGATGTATTCTGCATGTTTCCTAATAATTGTAACAGCGCATCTTTGAATTGTGGAAAAGTCGCTTTACTGCGATGATGGTTGCGTAACAAGGATGTGATTAGATCGTCGCTTTTATCCTGAAGTTGGAGGGTTTCGCAGAGTTGCAAGAGGCCGGGGTGATCCAACGAGCCATCGTTATCACTGTCGTGGCTGCTGAACACTTTGAACAATTGCTCTTCATATTGATCAAGACATTGATCCATTCTACACAACTCAGCAAACCTGTAAATATTAATTACACGGAATTATAATATAAGCTACATAATCTCAACATTTTTGTAATAATTATGTTGATTGCATGGCGTTAGAGAGGAGCGAGACAATAACATTCTTTAAAGTGTGACTTCCTTGTATTGTTCACTTTTTTCGCCCGGCTATAATTCAATTGTTTTATGAATTAGCAATTGTAATACAATGAGCCCGGTCTTCCTTGCTGGATTCAAGAAATTCAATAATTAAAACATAAAGATTTTGTACAAAAAATGTGTCCAATCATTTTAAAATGAGAAAACATAACCAAAACTAACCTCAAACTAAGAAATAATACTGTTTCAGCATTAGCGCAAACTATTGCGTTTCCAACTTTTAGCGATAAACACCAGCAGAGAAATGCATTTCGCCTGCACAATGCGCACAATTTTATCTAGTAAATCAACCTTATCGCTCCGTAATCGATGTCGAAGGTTGTTCCATGTTGACTTTAAGCCCTGTTTCATGAGCGGTATGTTTACATTCACTCACCCGTTCTCGGCTGCTAAGCATCGACCACATGAATGTGTAATTGCGTCTCGTATTGTATGCAAACCGCTGTTGTTTCCTTAGAGAGCGAAGCACCGATGTCGTCGCGCAACACGAGAAAATCACTTCGTCATTGCTAACATTAGATCCCGCGCTTGTATGATGTTGATGTTTTGTCAAGCAACATGGGTTGGTTTCGCGCGATAAAAGAGCGAGTGCAGGCTGCAGGCTAACGGGAGTTTTCTACTGCGTTGACTACGATCTTAAGGTGCCTGCTGCCCGTGCCCATCGCCGTCGTGCCACTACTTACTCGCTACCAACTTTACTACTACCTGCACACGGTCAAGCAGTCAATCACAACAAAACTTGGAAGTGTGTCAATCGTGCGCGCGATCCGTTACTAGCGCCTCGACGGCTGCAACCAACATTACATAAGTAAGACGTAAGGCTACGTCCGCACAATTGATTCAATTTTTCTTAAATTTCATATCAAATTCACTCAATTTGTGTTTTTAAAATAATCTGGGAAAACTCCTCTTACGTTTTTTACAATAAATTGTAAGTTAAAACAAACTTTTATTACAATAATTATTCTAACATTTGCAAACTAAATTATCACACATCAACTACATCTTTGCTATCTACTATAATGGTCTCTACTTCGGTGCCTTCATACATTTGTTTTTGCCTCATTAACTCTTGCAATTGCAGCATTTCAAACTTTGTTTTTGAATATTCATATCTACACTTTGTCCAATAACCCAGTGTAACAACAGTGAATCCAAGCACTCCAAAATTACACGCCGCCCTTGTTCGACTAGTAAACATAAAATATGCTAATCCAGTACCAATTCCACAACTGACACCATAAAGATAACTGTTACGAAAGCAGGGCATTTTGGACACATCTCTCCCAAAAATCATTAAACTCTAGAAAATATGATTCAGTTATGATCAAAACAAAGCAATTATCATACCTTGCTGCTAGGAGAATCCTGTTCATCTTCCATTTTGTAATTTATTCGGTATTTATAGCCTTATAATTACTTAATATAAGTATAGGTAAATTATTTACTGTATAGTTTACAAAATTATTTTATAACCACATTTTCTGGAAGATGATGTGACATATAAGTTGCCTAGACGTACATTGAATCACGTTGATAGAGTTAATGTAGTACGATTGTGCCTAGATGGAGTTAGGATGTACTTATTTAAATCAACTGGAACTTCATTTAATCCATTATCAGTTGAGGAGGATATAATCAATTAGGCATTGTTCAAAGTTAAAACATTGAACAGGGCGAAGCGACGGTCACACGGTCTCAGCAATTTTAATTATTCAATATATGTAAACACACCACCTCGAACCTACCATACTTATCAGTTTCAGACTAAGCATATCTAGGGTGTATAGCGCACCGCGAGGAATTTCTGCCCTAGACTAAACACAAACATTAGATCTGTACAGTTAGCTATGTGACGAGAGGTGTTCCCACGATCCATGATTTTGTGTATTAATATAAAAGGGACACCTCTGGCTCTGCACCTCAGTTATTATTATCAACTCCGCACTCACGTTACGTACAGCGTAGTGTGTTCCTGTATACGTTTTAAATATATCAAGTATTTACATATACGTCTACAGGCATAATTGTTTACGCTGAGACCAAAAATACGATATTGTTTTTTATGGTTTTATCAGAACATTATATTTCTATTAATTTTTAAATAACTAGTTTTTATGACAGAAATGATAACCAAAGCATTCCAGGAGTTATCACTAAAGAAAATATTATTATGGTATAACGTTCCATGTTGATTTTCTATATCCAGTTTCACATATCTATAAATAAAATGTATGAAGTATGAAAGTAATTGAATCGCTGTTTTACTACAATTTATGCTTGCCTTTTTAATGATGTTGTCGACACAAAACATCCTGATCTTTTCAGCTGTTGCTGGGGCATCCAACTGAAAAGATTCCTGAATATTTTGTTCTTTTCTTGCAGCAATAATAGCTTCTCTAATCGCAAATAAAACAGAACTGGCCAAAAACAATGGCGGTTCACCAACAGCTTTTGATGAGTAAACAGCTCGCGGATTTGATGATCCTTTCAATAAGGACACATTAAACTCAGTTGGTATGTCTGAGAATCCAGGAATTTTGTAAGCTCCAGGTCCACGTGTCATGACTGTTCCTTCTGGGGAATAAAGCATTTCTTCCAGAACAAAAAGACCATAACCTTGCATAAATGCTCCCTCAACTTGACCTATATCTATTGCAGGGTTTAAACTTGCACCTAAAATTTAAACGAGATGTGTTAATACCAAAATAACACGTTAATACAAGTATTACCAAGATCCATGATAATATCAGTTCTCAAAACACGATGATCTCCGGTAAGACAATCAATTTCCACTTCAGTGCACGCTGCACCAAAAGTATAATAATTATACGGTGTTCCCGAGTTTGTTTCCCAATCGTAAAATACATCTGGTGTTGCAAAATGGCCGACAGCTGATAGGGAAATTCGTTCAAAGTACGCCTTGTTGACAAGTTTCTCCCATGATAATTCAGGATATTTGGAACGAAGTGGTTTCAATCGTTCTTTCAAGATTTCACATGCTCTCTCAAAAAAAATATGATACCATTGATGTAATTATAGACATTTGATTATGTTTGACCAACTTACCAACACAGCCATTCCATTTAAATCGGACCCAACACTAGCAGCACTTGGAGAACTATTTGGAACTTTATCAGTAGCGCATTCGTTAATATGAACTAATCCTGGAGCAACTCCCAAAACTTTGGCAGCTATTTGAATCATTTTTGTGTATAATCCTTGCCCCATTTCAACTCCACCAATGGTTAACAAAATAGAACCATCTGTATAAACATTAATCAAGCATCCAGATTGTTCTAAAAAGGGAACCCCAAATCCGACGCCATATTTAGTGGTAACTATTGAAATACCACGCTTCTTATATTTATTCTCAATGTTAAATTGGTTGATTTGATTTTGTCTTTCAAAATAATTAGATTTCTGTAAGCATTCTTCAAAGCATCTGCTTAAATTACAATTAATAATTTGTTGACTGTAATGTGTAATGTCTCCTTCTTTGTAAAGATTCTTAGCCACGACTGTGACAAGGTCCATTTTAAGATGCTCTGCTACTTGACGTATCATGTACTCCGCAGCAAACATTGCCTGAGGAGCACCAAAACCTCGAAACGCAGTGTTTGATGGTAAATTCGTTTTGCAAAGTCTTCCTACAACTCTTAAATTTTTGATTTTATAACAATTTTCAACATGAAAAACAGCTCTTTCTAGAACTTCCAGTGATAAATCATATGAATGACCGGCATTTGCAAATACTTCAACGTCAAGTGCATCAATTGTGCCATCTGAAGAAAATGCAGCTTTGTATTTTACAAGATAAGGGTGACGACCACCAGTTACAGCCATGTCTTCATCGCGATCGAGGAGAATACGCACTGGACGATTGAATTTTTGAGCGGCCACGGCAGCCGCCATTGCGATTGGAACAGTTCGAGATTGCTTGCCACCAAAACCACCACCAATACGTTTGATTCGAGTAACAATTTTGTGTTGGGGAATGCCTAAAACCCTCGACACAAAATCCTAAAAGGATAAATAACGGTACAATTAAAATATTTGGATTGTATTGTAAATATAACTCACAGTAATCTCAGCATGATGTTGACTTGAAACAAACATCTCAAACTCATCAGTTTCTTTTGGAATTACTAGGCACCCTATTGTTTCAAAGTAAAAATGCTCTTGATAACCAGTCTTTGTTTTTCCTTGTATAATATTCTTTGACATTTTGAACGTTTCATCAACATTTCCAACTTCAATGCGTCTCACATCAGGAAACAATGATCCATGTAAAATTGCGTCTTCAATTGAAACAATACATGGTTGCAACGCTTCATATTCCACTTTTACTAGTTTTGCAGCACGTTGAGCTTTAGTTTGATCAACAGCCAAGATGGCACCAAGAAATTGACCTTGACAAGACACCAAATCTGTAATAAACAGTTGTTCATCTTGGTGTACTGGCCCTAATTTGTTACGTCCTTCAGAAATATCTTTAGCGGAAATAAAACCTATAACACCATCATGTGCTAGGGCAGTTTTGGGATCTATAGATTTAATCATGGCGTGAGCTTTAGTGGTATACACAAATGCCATGTACAATTCATTTTCAATGTGTGGAATGTCATCAGTGTAGATTGCTTCACCAGTTGCTTGTTTCAAAGCTGATCTATGAACTAAAGGTTTTCCAACTGGTGATGGCTCAGTTTCATCTTCATTTGAGTTTATAGGTATGTCAAAAAACTGTGTGCTTGATGGTGTTTTATAATGAAACTTCTCTACTGCACTTTCAATATTTTTATCTAGATTTCCATTCAAAATTTTGTTCATTTCCAAGAAAGTTCGGAAGAAGAAACTCAATGCAAGTGCACGTCTGTAATCAACCATGCCACCTGGTGCATTTGCTGACAAAGGAGTGTCTTTGAATATGTTAGTACAAGCAATTTCAAATATTTCATTGTTCCATTCTAAACCTCTTAAATTTTGGGTTGATTTCCCAAGAAAAGTAGTTGGACCCAGTCCACCGAAAGCTATTTTAAGTTCTTCAATTATTTTAGTTCCGGGTTGGAAGATAATATTGATTGCAGTGTTGACAATTGCGATATCATCATCTCTTCGACGTGATTGTTTATGAGCAAAAACATATTGGCCTTCTTTAGTGAATGGAATTTCTATAGATTCCAAAATTTCATCTGGGTTTACAATTGTTTTTCTGTATCCTGTAAAAAAGTGATCGTCCATTATGACAGAACGAGTTCCTGAAGAACTAGACAAGTGTAACGTTGCTCCTATCGCCATCCATATTGGATTGAGATCTGATATAGGACTTCCTGTCATAATATTACCACCAATTGAAGCTACACTTCGAATTTGTTTGCCAGCAAACCTGTGCAACATCTCTACTACCGACTTCAATATATAAGTTTTACATTTTGGATGTAATTTTAATTGATTTTCAAAACATGACTTAATGTCTTCTAAAGTCACCGCTGCTCCAATACGGATACTATCATTGTTGATAATAATCTGATTGAGTTCGTGCACTGAAGTAGGTTGTATCAACATTGTATATAGTTGTCCTTTAAATTTCACTTCTATACCAACTTCAGTGTTTCCCACAATAATTTTACTTTTGGGATACTGGCTCTTAAGTTGTAAAAGACTTTCTAAGGTATCAGGTCTGTACCAAGTGACATCTTTCCCTTTAATCATCAAATACTCTTTGTCATAACAATCAGTTAATTTCAATTCTGCAGGAAATATAGGTTCTTGAGAACTATCATATGGTACAAAACTATTAGGATTAAATAAATTGTGGTTTTGATCATTGTCAGTAAGCTGCTGATATTTGCAGCAGTTGGCACCCATAATGCAATCACTTCCATTGGCTACATATCCATTTGTTTTGTTTTTTGATTGCATCAATTCCCAATCTTCAGTAAATGTTTTGTATCCTTCAATGATAGGTCTGTACCCAGTGCATCTGCAGAGATTACCTTGAAACGTCACATCCAAGTCATCCATCTTGGGTTTGTTACAGTTTCTAAGTAGAGTATACATAGACATGACAATTCCAGGCGTACAGAAACCACATTGGGAGCCGTGTGCCTTAGCGATGCGTTCCTGTACTGGATGAAGTTTCGTCTTTGTTGATCCGATTCCTTCAACGGTGACCACTGCTAATCCATGCATAGAACATACAGGTGCCAGGCATGCATTTACCGGGAAGTGCCTGTCATATTTAGATATAATAGCAACATTACTTACGTATTTTTTTAACTTACACGACTTTTTTTGTTTCCCGTTGGTATTTGGACACCATGACGGTGCATGCTCCACAACCACCTTCGCCGCACCCTAGTTTCACTCCGCATAGTCGCACTGATCAATTAAAATATAATATATTTCTGTTACCAACTTAATATATGAAAAAACTTACATTTATTTCTTAGATATTGAAGTAAAGTCCATTCCGGATTAACTTGGTCATCGACAATTTTCTTGCCGTTGACAAAAAAGACCAAAACAGAAGATTTCATCGTTAACCTTCAAAAATGCTTATTGCTTCAATGAAAACAAAATTGATACTGGTTGTGAAGTCAATCCATTGCAGAACCTTGAATGCACTCGACAACGTCAAGTAACCACTTATCCGGCGTTTCGACATTTTAAAAATCAATTATCGTTATCTGTGTGATAACGAGGCTTGCTTTTGACAAAAACAAACAACTCCACTCAGCATCACAAGTAAGATGATAATGTTTCAGTACCAGGGTTCCAAATACAATTCCATAAATATAATGTACGTCATTAGTTGTTTGTGATAGAATATATAACATAATTATTTTGAAATAATCATAAATCAATATGAACCCTATTATCATAAATTTTGAAATAAAAATGCATGTTTGGCAAGATGATTACCACCAAAATAATTTGTTTATTGGGAATTTTGAACTAATTCTGATCGTACTTTTAATAAGCCTGATTGTATTTATTTTTAGTATATTGGTAAAGAGTATTTAAATCGAATTAAAAAAAATGGTAACTCGAAAACTTGTGTTTTTATAACTACAGTCGACTCTCGTTAATTCGAAACACGAGAGAATCTTACGAATTATAGAGTGTTTGCAATATCAAATAGTTCGATATTTGTGAAAAAGAATAAATAAAACTTTAATTACTAAGTTTTCCTCAATTAATATTCATTAACTGCTATTCTATAACAATGACAAAAGTTAAGAGGTACATTCGTGTACATACATTCATACATGAACGAATTCATAATGTGAATTAATTAATCTTTCGAGAGAACACTGTTATACTGGTTTGCTTTGAAGAAAATTGCTACACAGATTGCCCAATAACTTTTTTTAAGAGAAAAATATTTGCTAATTGACATTTTTTGTCCTCTACAATGTCTTAGCCAAATGACCAGGTTTTCGTCCAGACAAAAAAAATCACCTTTAGTAGTTCTCTTCTGTACTCCAACAGTTTGAGCAGCATTAATTTTAAATTCTTTAATCTGTATACCAACGAAAAACTAACAATTACAGTACGTGGATACAAGTTTGAATTTTTCGTAAAATATACTTATAAAATCTTTCCGCCTCTTTCTCTCTGCAACTTTGAATTGCCAAGTGTTCAACGCCGATGAGTACGAATTTACGCGTCGTTTTGCTATACGATATAGCCATGATTTTATTAGATAATTACCAATTTTATAAAAATGTATTTATTTAGTTCGAAATATAAGGAGATTTTGTAAGGAACTCGTGATAACTTTGAATTATTAAGAGGTTCGAATTATCGAAGGTTGAAATTAACGAGAGTCGACTGTAGTCGACTACCCATGTAGATTTAACTGGTTCAACCTAAACCAGCATTTACTTAGTAATTGAATATTAATGTTCCTCAATGTTGTTTGCTTATTTACCTTAATTGTAACATGATCTTGATAAGCCATCCGAATACGCTCTGTTGAAATAGGTGCCTGCAAATGAAAGTTATCCTTGACGCCATTTTTCTTTCGAGCTGCTGATTGTCTCTTGAATTGCAAAGATCACCAATGATGCCAAAAACAATGGTGAGTTTAGCAATAACTTTCAATGAATAAACCGGTCTTGGATTAGAAGAATCTTTCAAAACTTAAATTCTAATGAATTATCACTAAAACTAGGAATCTTATAACCCATTTCTTCAATTACAAATTATCCGTAACGCTGCATAAATCCACTTTCAATTTGCGCAATATCAATAGCTGGATTTGAACTGTTGCGTAAATCCATGACAATACATGTACACAAAATCTTCTCTTCGGTTACAGCCGCACCAAACGTGAAGTAGTTAACCATTTTATCGTTTGAATTTGTAGCCCAGTCCAAGATAACTGTGGTTCTCGAAGAAAACCTGTTACAGGAAGACTGATACGTAAATTATAAGCCGCCATAAACCATTTCTGAAATAAGAATCCTCGTCATTGTATTACCACTAATTGAACACTTTGGATTTGTTTACCAGCAAACTATGGTAACATTTCAACAACTACTTTGCAAATGAGTTTTCACATTCTGGTCTAGTTTTAATTAGAGTTTTGTAAGTAGATTCAATTTCCTCCAAATTAACTCCTGCTTCAATATGTATAGTTTCGTTGCTGACAACAATCTAAAAGTTCCAATACCCTAGTAGTTCGAAGCCGTAGGCTGAATGTAAACACGGTAAAACTGGCCTTTGAATTTGATCTTAACCCCAACTTCTGTAATATCATCAATTGTTTTTGCACCTGGATTTTGCAGTAGCAGCGGTAGATTGTTGTCGGTCCGTACCAAGACAATTGTTCTTCTTTAAACATTAATGATATTTTATCATAGGTGTCATTTAGTTTTAATTCTGATGGAAAAATTATCACTTTCATGATCACCGTATATATTACTGGTGCTAGTGGTAATATTTTATAGTTTGCAATATAATAGTTCCAGAGGTGCAGAAACCGCAGTGGGTCGTGTGTCTAACCCAATCGGTTAGACAGACTTCAACGACACATCTAATCAAATTGTCAACAAGCTATTAGTGAATGCATATCGCATAGTGCCCTTAGTATCTATTAATTACTACACTATGCACATACTCATGTCCTATATAAGCGCATGCAAGTCTAGAAATAAACAGTGTCATAGCCTGTACCGTGCAGTTCACTAGCCAGCTACATATTATCCTTGACACTCCTCACAAAGAGCTTGTAACCTGTACTCTGCTACATATCCTCGAGCCTTGGTGCCGCTCTTTGTGGCCACCGTCCACAAACCACCATCACCAGCAACCAGTGTCACTAGCTACTTTTAGTTGACCCGATTACTTCTACTATGGCCACAGTATATCCATGCATAGTGCATACCGGCGCTAGGCATGCATTCACCGGATAATTACTTAAAAAAACCATAAAAACAAAGTGAGATTTGTTTGCAGTTAACATATATATCTTTGACTATGACTGTGTAAACTGCACCACCACGTTACCCACATCCCAATTTTGTTCCACAGAGTGAAACATATAATTAAATATTAAGAAACAAATACGAATTTAAAAAGTAAAACATCAAATAAAGTTTATTTAAAGTGGGACCAATTCTAAATACGACGTTATATAAAAGGATACGCTTTATCTTTAAATACGTTAACAACGTCTATTTTGGATTAATGTTCTCTCCAACAATACTCGTATTAAAACGGAAATACTTGTTTGCCATTGACATTAACCCCAAAGTAACGCTTTTATCATTATTCACCATTTCACACGCTTTATATTAGCTTCTTGCTTGCTTGTTTCTAACCAACACGACACACTACCAATTTGGATAAATAGGAAGACTGAGACAGTGAAATGTAATTTTTATACTTCCACCTATAAAGCGCCAGTTCTTTCACAATTTTTAGACACAAAAAGTAGTACTTTATATACGGACGGCCGAGCCGTACATAATATTCATTATGTACTTGCATTATGCACGAGATGGAGCAAGTGCCTGCGCATTTGCCTACGGAGCAGCACAAGGCGGTATGAAATACCATGCGACGTCAGTCAAACACGTCAAAGAAGGAGCTGCTGCTGTTGGTATCGGAGCGGCACGATATGGCCCGAAGCGTCACATGGGCCGGCGCGCGGCCTGGCATTTATATCCTTAGAATTTGTAGTAGTGTGCGAGCAAATATCGATGATTTAAAATACAAAAGTTGAATTACAAAAACCGCCACGTGGAACTAGAGTGGAAGTAGAAAAAATAGCGTAAGCACTACGAGGCTAAACGTTGTTAAGGAGGTCACCTTGGGGGTAAATCTAACAGATATCGCAGATATAACCTTCCGCTAAGTCCCACTCTGTGCATTTCTCGTGAGTCCATAGCCCACATGAAATGCATCTGAACCATATCTCATTGTTTTTTCCAAAATCGTTGCACACTAGATATCTGTTTTCAACATCTTCTGCGTCGTCATCCTCATCGTCATCGTCATAAGTCGTCAGTGACCACATCGAATACAGAAATTTCGTTACTTTCCTGCAGTACCCGGCGCTTTGCCTTTTCAGGACCCTTCTTCTGTATTCTTTTTTTCTTGACCTTTACCTGTCCATATCTTATCTTGTTCTTTACCACCTGTTTTCTTCATGTAGGTACTTATTTTATTTTTCTATCAAGTTTTCTTTTATTGGCGTTGAAGTTAAAATGGCAGCGTGTTGCTTCTTTCGGCACTTTCTTGTATTTATAACAATGCGACAAGCATGGTTGCCAAGTATTGAAAAGATGGGTTCATTTGCAAATAGCTTAGAATGCTGTTTAAAGTGCACCAACCATTGAAGAAAAAGATTCTCATTAATCCAACCATTGTCAGAGCATTTGTAAAATGCTCCTGCTGGATCATCCTTCTCTAGCAGAGGAGTCAACCTTTTCCTAGGGAAAGTAAATATCAGTGGAATGTAGCCACCTGCAGCGCTCATAGCACACAACAAAGTGATGTTTTTTTCTCTCTCCCAACTAGTTATTGATCCTACTCTCCTCTGTCCTTTGGTAGCATTATACAGACATAGTAACAGAAATAGTAACATATAACAGTTTCCAGGAATTTATCGCCGTGGACCTGGTGATGTGGTTTGCGATGATAGAGTTGCACCTGCTCCAGCAACTCCACCTGGAAATAGCGAACCTCAAAAGCCAGGAAAATAAAGTTACAAACACTTAGCGGGGTAGGTCACAGATCTTGATCCTGGTCGCGCCCACGCGGTCCATGCCTACTTGGCATAGGCTGTTATTATTGGATTTTCGAGAAGGCTGATGAGTAACCGTGCACCTGGACTTCAGAAAACGCCCATGGCAGTTCCTGCATAATACTGGCGCTGAGTTATGTGTCATTCAGCAAAAGCATTACCGCGGCCCGTGTAGAAGTCGACGTACACACAATCCGTGGCCAACGGTACACCCATTGCAACGTACGGTAGCGACGCTCACACTGAACCTGAATCAGAAGAGAGATTTCCCTCGGAGGTTCCTGATTTCGTCGTTTTATGCTGTTTTACGCGTTAAAACGCAGATTAAAGCTCAAAACGTGCTGTTTTGCTAAAATAAGCATTTTCAAGCATTTTAGATC